GAGGCCGCCGTGGCCGCTGACCTGCTGAAGCCCCTGCTTCAGGACTTGCAGTAACTCCATCTTGCGCAGCAGGCCCCCTCTCATTTATTCTTTTTAAATGGAAGTTTTTGCCTTAGGGTGCATGCACTTGCCAGAGAGAGAAAAAGACAGACAATGAGAGACAAAGTCAGAAATCACCCCCCCGGGGGGATGGCCATGCCGCAGCCCCTTCTCCATTCTCCTGGGATCTTGGGCACGCACACACGCCCGGCGTGAGTTTAAGCCACCGGGTCCGGGACGCGAACTGCGGTGTACTACGTGGGAGTCCAGCGACATAGCCATTACGCTAACTGCTGGTTCCCCCCCTCATTTATTCTTTACACTGGTGCTGTGATGATCTCTTTCTAAGGCCAACAACCATGCCTCTGCTCACTTAGAAACCTCCCAAGGCCCCCTGTTGCTTACAGGGCCTGCTCAGCTGTCAGGCTTCAGGGCTGCAGTCCTCTGCCTGCTGCTGGACCTAAGCTTTGCCTTCTGCTCTCTTCTGTCTGTGCTTTTCCAGGCATCCCACCGAATGACTCGTCTGCCCACCAGCCTTTCCCCAGCCTGGCAACTTTCTGCTCATAATCATGACCCATTTCAAAGATCATCTTTGTGAACTGTGTCAGAATAGTTTCTGGCAGAAGTAGAGTGAAAAAAAAAAGCAAATAAATGAGTAGTGCAGGTCATACTTGATACCTGCTCCGTTCTCATCCAGATTACTACCCAGTCCGGCCCAGTGTCTGAATACGTCTGTTCCTTACTGACTTTTCTCTCGTGCAAGCCAGTGGGCTGGACTGCTGTTTCTTTATTAAAAATTGATTCCTTTAATATTTTTTCATGTTTTAAAAATATATCTTTGTATTTTTGTAATATGAGCATTATATTTCAATAAGGATTATGTTGCAATATATTTAGCTTTACTCTTTATTGAGATACAATTTGTGTACCATAAAATTAAAAATGTACAATTGTTTTTAGTATATTCATTGACTTATGCTGTACTCACCAACAAAACAGAGTTCTACCTTTTTTTAAAAAAAAATCTACTATCTACTCTTTAGCAGTAACTTACTGTTCTTTCTTTACCCCTGTCTTCTTGAAAAAACATTTACTTCTTGCCTCAATACATCATCTACTCTGGGCATTTTAAATAAAAGGATCAAAGTGTTTTTGTGGCTTTTTTGAAATAGGAGTCTTATTTTCTTTTCTCTTTCCTTCTTTTTAGATTTTCCATAGGGTGTATGTGCTTACAGGAGAGAGACAGAGAAAGAAAAAGTGAAAAAGCCTTTTAAGGGGACCAGCAGTTAGCGTAATGGCTATGTCGCTGGACTCCCACGTATTCAACCATGGTTCGAGTCCCAGACCCGGTGGCTTAAACTCACGCTGGGTGCGTGTGCGTGCGTGCCCAAGATCCCTAGAGGAGAATGGAGGAGAAGGGATTGCGGTGTGGCCATCTCTGGGCGGGGGGTTCTCGCTTTCTGTCTCTCTGTCTCTCTCTGTCTGGTGAGCGCACGTGCCCTATAGCAGAAACCTCTCCAAAAAACAAAAAAAAACAAAAAAAAAAAGAAAGAAAGAACGAAAGAAAGCCTTTTAGGGATATGAGAGGTGGATGGTTATGCTACAGTTCCTTCTCTACTCTTTCGAGATTTTAGGCATACATGCACCCGTACCTGGTGTGTTTTTCAAATCACTGTCTCTGGGACTCGAACCATGCTGTCTGCAGGGTGGGATCCAGCTGCCTTCACTATACCGCCAGCTGGCCCCAGCATTCTGTTTCCAGAGTCTGCCCTTTTTATGGCTGAGTTATCTCATTGTGGATATCGCACATTTTATCTCTTCATCAGTAATGTACTTTCGGATCATTCCCGTTGTTCTGATATGATGAGCAGTGCTTAGAGCATTCACATGCAGGCTACACTGCCAGTCTGAACATTTAGCACGCTCCCGACATGATGCCATGGGAGTAGAGAATCCCAAGCCGGCCTCGTGCTAGGTCTCAGTCACCACGCTGCAGGGCAAGTGTGTTGTGTACCATTGCACTCAGGCTCTGTGCATAAGTTGTGTGTGAAGCATACGTGAG